CCCCCCCCCCCCCCCCCCCCCCCCCCCCCGCTTTCTCTGGGCAGGATCCTTGTGGGGAACCCCCTCCGATCTGTGTCTGCGGACTGCTGTGGCTGCAATTCTGGCAGCAGAAGAGGCAGCCGGAGGGATCAGGCAACCAGTCCTTCCAATGCGTGCAGGAGGACAAGAGCCTGGTGCCAGTCTTCAACCTCACCCTCCCGGGCTGCGGTAAGGGCAGAGCTTCTCTCAGCGGGAGAACTGCCAGCGGAGTTCGGTGGACTGGTTGCTTTGCAGCGATCCAGTCCAGCCCAGAATTTCCCCAGCCCCTTTTGCAACCGCAAGAGCGCCCCTCCCCAGCTAGGGGGGGTCTCGTGGCAGCTGGGTGAAGCCCCCACTCTCCTGCTCCATCCCTGTGCAGATTTCCCCAAGGTCTGGATTGACTACGATCCCACCCCGATGGGAGAAGGCGAGGGTGTCAACCTGACGTGCCACATCACGGGAGAGCCACGGCCGGTGGTGGACTGGGATGTGCCCCAGGTTGGGCCTGACCCCCCCATCGTAATCAAGGCAAGTTGCAGGTGGTGACCCCCTGGCACCTAGCTCATGCCCCAGCTGACGAGGCGGTGGGTGTCTGTTTCTGCTCTCTTGGCCCTTCCCGCGTGAAATCCTGGATTTTGATCCGAAGGCTGGGGCTTCAGAAGGGGGACTGAGCCTCTCAGAAGGGCCGATCTGCCAGAAGAAGGGGAGAGGGGATGGTCAATGGCTTGTGCTTCTTGCCCTCCAGAAGTCAGAGTCTGACATCACGCTGCAGATCACCAACGTCTCTTCCAGTTACAACCTGCGCAACATTACCTGCCGAGCAGAGAATGAAGCGGGCATGGGGGAAGCCGTGGCCCAGCTGAACGTGACCTGTAAGGGGAAAGGAGGCTGGGGCAGGGTGGCTGTGGGGGTCCTTTAGGCTGGCATTCAGCAAAGGGAAAAAGAAAAAATATTAGCTACAGGGTGGGGGTGGAGGATGAGTCAGCGGGATATGTATTCCTTGCAAGAAGGCGAGAAAGGAAAAGATGCCCCAGGGCCCGCTACACTCCTGGCGGACGAGCAAACCTGACAAGAAATACGGTGTGCTGCATCCTCCCCAAGTGGTACAGCCCAACCTTAGAGTTCAGGGCTCTACCACCCAGTTTGCCGCTGATCCAAACCCAGGAGAAAGCTGGTTGCTCTACAAGAAACCCGCCTGGTGGTGCGTCCAAACAACGGTGCTTCGGAGCCCCACTTTCTCCTGTCCGGCTGCTGGCAGCTGAGTTGAGAAGTGAAAGCCACCAAACCCAGTGAAAAAAAATTACGATTCCATGAAAGGGTAATTTTTTACTCCCCCTCGGAGGTCCAGCCTTGCTCTGACTGGAAGGGGCAGCGTGTCCGGTGCAGAAGTTGCGGTCGGGGCTTGTAGGTGCAGGTTTGAATCCGGGGAAGCCAGACGGGGGCCGTGCAGTTCTGCGTGCCCCGCGGAGACCTCCTTGGCCTTCTCCCTCCTGCAGTTCCAGCTGTGATTCGCGAGCTGGGCCAGGCGGTCAAACACTACCAGTGGTGCATCCCCTTCTCCGTGGACGGCAACCCCACGCCCAGCATCCGATGGCGGATCGGCAACTCTGAGCTCAGAGAGACGAGCGACGTTTACACCAGACTCTTCACAGAATGGGTCCGGACTTCCACCATCGTCCACGGCTGCTTGTACCTCAACACGCCCACGCACTTCTCCAACGGCAACTACACCCTGCTGGTGGCCAACGCCCTGGGCACGGCCTCTTGCACCACCTATCAGCACTTCATGGACATCCCCGATGAACATTTCCGGGAGGAAGAACCTTTCCATGGTACCGGGCTCTGTGGCCGAGGTGGCTTCTGTGGCCTGGGGGGGGGGAGTTTGGTTTCTTGGTGTCACGAGGGAGAGTGCAGAAGGCCCAGGGGGCTGTAACCGCAGAGAAGCACTTTCCGTGCAAGCTCCCTATGCCCTGCCCCAAGGAATGAACTGGGTACTGCCAGCGAGGGCAGAAATAGGGAGGGCTGCATGAATTCGGAAGAGCCGAGGCACCCGGATGTCTCTTTCCCTCCGGACACGCACAGTGTGTAGCGTGTAGACTCGAGGGCACTCTGAATGTGCTGCCGGAGGCACGCTTTTCCCGCATACCGCCTGAGGGGTGCCGATGTGTGCGTGTGTGTGCACGTGGGTGTGTACGCATATGTGCGAGAAAGAGGGAGAAGGAGAGAGAGCACAATTCAGGGCCGTTTGCTTTTGGAGACCTGAGTTTTGAAGGTTCACCAACGCTTCCCCTTCTTCTCCTTCCCTTTCCATGCTGCTAAGGCTCCCTCACACCAGGCCGTAAGTGCTGTTGGGTTTTTGGCCCCTGGGAGGGGGAAGGAGGCCCAACTGGGATGGAGAACACACACACACACATACACACACACACACACACACACAGAGCTCGGTCCTGGTAGAAGGGTGGGGTGTGGAAACCAGGGTTCTTTCCCGTGGAGAGGACCTCTCTCTCTTTGGATTAAGACACCCCCCAAACTCTCTGTCCCCCCCCCCAATCTTCTGTGGAAAGGGCAGAGATGGTGGGAAAAACAGTGCAGGGTGGTTACAAGGGCACCGGGCTGGGCTCAGGAGAGTGCCCAGCTGAGGCTGGAGACGAGAAGCCGGGGAGTGCCTGAGTGCCCGGAAGATCTCCTTCTGTTCTTTCTTTTGTGCCCAGGAACAAAGGACACAAACGACACCGAGGGGGGGCCCGTGGAGACCACAGAGGAGCACCCCGTTGGGGTAAAGTGCCAAGATGCTGGAGGTTCCCTGGGGAGGGGGGGAAGCCCCACGGCCATCAGAGAACCAGGACTCTGCCCAGCTTTGCGGGTCCGCATCCCTGCTCCCGTGGGCGCCCTCTTCTC